TCAAGTACATGGGATCGTCGATTATGTAAAAAAAAGATAATTTATTTGTTTCATCTCCACATGCCGCGATAATTATTTTTTTTATAAGTATATATATATATATATTTTTTTTTTTTTTTTTTTTTTTTTTTTTTTTTTTTTTTTTTTTTTTTTTTTTTTTTTTTTAATTGGATCGCATAATTCTTGTTCATTCATTTTCATAAGACGACGTTTTCTTTTTTCTTTCCTCTCATTCTTTTTTTTTTTCTTTTTTCTTTTTTCTTTTTTCAAAGACAACAGAATGGTTTAGATAAAAATTAGTTATTTGCAATGTACAATATAATCCTAAGAGCAAACATATATATATATATATATATATATATATATATATAAAATATTAATAATAATGACAATTGAAATTGTAGTTTTCATTATCGATCAATCTCGATTAATATTAATTATTTTTGACGTGAAAAATGCGTTAATTGTAAAAGGAAAAGAGAAAAGGAAAAAACGAAACAAAACGTGATCTTATCGATCATTCTTCTATCTTAATCATTGTCTACTTTTTTTTTTTTTTCTTTTTTTAAATCTTATTTTTTTTTCCCACCCTTAATATCCGCACTGCTTTATCCCTCGTTATAATCATCGAGCGCATATTTCTAATTCAATCATACCTACGTCCTTGTGTTCGGTACCATTTATAAATTGCCATGAATAATAATGCCTGGCTATGAAAAAATGACGAAGTAACGAAGTAAGATATTACCAGAGCTCGTAGCAAAAAAAAAAAAAAAAAAAAAAAAAAAAAAAAGAAAAAAAACAGAAAATAAAAAATTACATAGATACAAGCATGTGATAGAGAAGATTACATGAGAAGGTTGCAGATGATAACTATGGAAAAAAAAAAAGAAAAAAAAAAGAATTTACAAAATTACAAATGTTAATGCAAGAATGCGATTTCGTTCATTACATGGTATTGTAGAGGGTTAACGATTACGAAAGAAATGATTCAAAAAAAAAAAAAAGAGAAAAAAAGAAAAATTACAAAATTACAAGAAATCATAGGAATGAATGCATTGTCTCGGGAAGTTGTCAAGCAAATTGGTCGAACCAGATAATTTAGAAAGTTGTCAATAGTTCGTACGTACAAACACACATACACACACAAACATGTGCGTAGTAGACACACGTAACAGAGAGCCAAACAGAGAATGTCGAAATTGTCGAGAATAAGCTAAGGTAAAAGGTCGATGAGGTAGAAAGAAAATCGGCAAGAAAACGGTCGCGTTAATTGTGCTTACGAAGGTAGATAGATATAATAGATGGTATATATACAGGGTGTATCATTTAAATCAATACTATATTTAAGTCATAAATATCTACATACTTTTTTTCTCTTTTCTTTTTTTTCCTTTTCTTTCTTTTCTTTTCTTTCTTTTTTTTTTTTTTTTTTTTTTTTTCTCCATAGAGAACGACGAAGTGCATCGATCGATGTGAGTGTAAAAAAATATGGTTCCATTAAGGAGGGAAAAAAAATATGCGTGCAGATTGACCTTTGCGTGACCTCTATGCGTCCATCGACGAGAAAATTTCTTACGTTAGATTACGTGCGCCCAAGTGGGAAGGACGTAACTTTTATTTCCGACATTCGGCTTTTTTCTTTTTTTTTTCTTCTCTTTTTTTTTCTTTTTTTTCTTCTCTTTTTTTCTTTTTTTTTTTTTTTAATCATAATAATTTAGAGCGGATATATGAGGGAATTGATTTTAAATGGGACACACAGTATATATAGGTAGAAATGGCATGTCTATCTACTATCCACGGATATTTGTTTGTGAATGTATGTATGTATGCATGTATGTATGTATGTATGTATGTATGTATGTATATAAGTACATAGTGCAGTGGAGATTTATGTATTAGGAAGCATTGTTGCCGAGAACGGTGCATCGTTGCATAACGCGCTCTATGCACCGTACGAAGTCGACGATAATCGAATATCTATTTCGAATGGCGAGTTCGATTAGATTTCTCGAAATATTCTCTAACGAGCTTTTTCTTTCCAACGAATACTCCGTTAAATATCTTATTTATTATTCGTCGAAAATTCTTTGAAACGTTTGAAACGTGTTAATTGACAAAAAAGGATTGATTCGATAATTAAAGAAATCATTTATCAGAACTTTCGAAAGAACTAGCGAATGTGTGTGTATATATATATATATATATTTTTTTTTTTTTTTCTTTTTTTTATATGTTTTAATATCTATCTTTTTTATTTCTTTATGTATTGAAAAATATTTTTTTTATCACTCTTTTTTTTTTTTTTTTTTTTTTTAACTAGTTCGATCGTTTCCCTTTTGAATAAATTAAATCAAATACTTTATAAAATTAATTTATATATTGAAATATAAGCGCGCGAAGGATAATGTAAATGTTAAAATTAAAAGATAATGAAAAATTAAATTATAAAAATAATATAATTTAAAATACATATGAATATTTATTATACTTCATGTATATGTAAATACATATACATACATACATACATACATACATTATATATATATATATATATAAATTAATTTCAAACTTATTATTAATTCTTCTGAATTTATTAGAAAAAAGAAAAAACCAATCGTCTCTCTCTCTCTCTCTCTCTCTCTCTCTCTTTCTCATACACACTCTCCCCCTTTCTCTCTCCCTTTAAATAATTAAATAATTATTAACAATATATGGAAAGAGATTTATATAAAATGAGAAAGGCAAAAAAAATCAAAGAGAGAAAGAAATGGAGAGAGAGTGAGAGAGAGAGAAATAATAGGATTTATACACGATCTCGATTTTGATTTTTATCAAACAAAAAAGATCGATGATCGCAAACATTGTATAAGTAGGAAGAAGTACTTCCATGGTTAGATACTTGTATCGTCGACTTCGAGGAGAGGTAAAATGAGCGCCAAAAGAAAAAAAAAAAGGAAAGAAGATAAAAGGAAAAAAGAAAAAGAAACGATATAAAGAGAATAATAAAAAAAAAGGAAAAAAAGAGAGAGAGAGAGAGAGAGAGAGAGAGAGAGAGAGAGAGAGAAAGAAAGGAAGAAAGAGAAATTAAAAATAAAAGAGTCATGGCGACGAGCGTAGGTACGAGGACGCGTAAAAACAATCGAAGGATGTCGTACCCCATAAATATGTAGAAGAGAAGCTTGAACGGCCACTGTATGCAAATTCACTTTGCCTCTGCTAGTTGCTGCCGTTGGCTGCTGTTGCTTTATACTTCTCTTTCTTTCCTTCTCTCTCTTTCTCTCTCTCTCTTTCTCTCTCTATCTTTCTATTTTGCATACGATCACCCGATAGATTCCGTGTCACGAGAAGGATAAGACGAAGAAGGAGAAGGAGGAGGCCTGGTGGAGAGGGAAAAAGAAAAAAAGCAAAAAAGGGTTGATCGCAGGTGCGCAGATTTTCTTTCTTTTTTTTTTTTCCTTTTTTCTTTCTTTATTTATTTATTTTCCTTTTTTTCTTCTTTTTTTTTCTTTTTCACGAACTCGAAGCAACGTAAAAATTGTTGAGGAATTTAAAAAAAAAAGAAAAAAATGTCATCAAAATTTCCTTGAGAAGGAAAAAAATATATATATTTATTTATTTATTTGAAATTATAATCGATAAGTCGTGTAATTAAAATTATGTGCAGACGCGTGCACGTACACACATACACATACATACAAAGATATACACTCATATATTAAAATAAATTTTGATTTAATCCCCTATATGTTGTCGTGAATTATTATTATGATTTTTTTGGCTGAAAAAAATAAATGTTTTCTCGAAGGGAAAAAGAAATACGTGATAAGAGATCATACGGTAATTTTAATTATTAAATTCATACAGCAAGTAAAATGATCGATAATTAGGAAACAATGTTACATGACGATAGCAACATCTTATATATATATATATATATATATATAATATTAATCGCATTATAGTAATATAGTAATGGTATAGTATATAGTAATAATATAATATGTTGATTGTAATATGTCGAATATTTTAGAAGTATGTATAAGATTAGAGAATAACGTGTGGCAGCTGTGTTTCCCCCTTTTAATACTTAAACCAAAACTATAAACAGAAAGAGAGAAATGAATAGGTAAGAAGACGATATATATATATATATATATATATATATATATATATATATATATATAGTTTTGACCTCTGATCAAAGGCTTCAACTTCCGTTTGAAAATTTACGATTTCCTTTATAGTTCTTATAAAAAAAAAAAAAAAAAAAAAAAAAAGAAAGAAAGAAAAAAAAAAGAAAAAAAAATGAAAAGAAAGAAAGAAAAGGAAAAGAAAGAAATGTCCGTGCTTGAATAAATTCAAGAATTTTATTATTTATAATTTTAAATTGTTTTCATTTGTATATCCCTTGTGTAACACAAATACATATATATGTATGTATATGAACACCATATCTGTTTCTCGTTTTCTCATTTTAGCGTGCAGTAATAAGATGGATCAAAAGTTTTAATGCTAATTTAAAAATCAATTCACATCTTTTCGAGATCATGTATATTAATCGTAATTTTTTATTGGATTGTAAACAAAACAAAAAAAAAAAAAAAAGAGAAAGAAAAGAAAAGAAAAGAAAAGAAAAGAGAAGAAAAAAAAACTTGCTTATGGACGCAAGTCAAATTCATTGAATCGTTTGAACTATTGAATTCATCGAGGTTATTGGAATGATTAATCTAATTGCAAGATTACTTTTTTTTCTCTCTCTTCTCTTTTTAATCACCTTTCGATGGCTTATCAAACTTTTGACCCACTCTGTTGCATTCGCGCGCATAATCTTTTCTTTTCCTTTTTCCTTTTTTTTTCTTTTTATTTTTTTATTTTTTTATTTTTTTTTTGTTTTTTTTTTTTTTTTTTTTTTTTTTGTTTTTTGTTTTTTGTTTTATTCTTTTCCTTGCGCAGTAATAAATGCGTAAGAGTAATAAAGTTAATCTGAATATGTGCAGAATGATGCAAGGAGGAACGAAGGGGTCGAAGATATTTTAGAAATGGCGGAAGGCACGTGCCCGTTTTATTAAAGAGGATTACGATAAGCTGCAAGGTGAGTTTTTCTATATGACTTTTGTTTTACTTTCTTATTGAAATTTTTTCTCTTTTCTTCTTTCTTGCCTTTTTCTTTCCTTTTTTTTTCTTTCTTTTTTTTTTTTTTCTTAACCTTCTCCGCGCGGAGATTTATCAGGAGGCCATTTCATGCTTTTTTATTTTTTTTTCTTTTTCTTTTTTTTTTTCTTCTTTTTTTTTTTTTTTTTTTAAGCGATCGCACAAACATATTCCACGATATTAAGACGTGCGAACCAGTCATGAATTTTCTTTCAGGTCCTGATACATATCTAATGTTTGCGCATTGTGTCGACATCGATGGATTATTATTCCTTTACGTGTGTTTCTTTTCTTTTCTTTTCTTTTTTTTCTCTTTCTTGTTTCCTTTTTTTACGATATTTTTTCTTGCGTCGTTGAAAAGGTTAAAAAAAAAAAAAAAAGAGAAAAGAGAGAAGAAAAAAGGAAAAGAGAAGAAACGATAAAGAGAAAAAATTATTTTTTACTAAGGGCGTGTTACGATCTATTTCCTTTGTTTTTTCTAGCTGGGTTTTTTCTTTTTTCTTTTTTCTTTTTTTTTTTATAGTAAGAAATTTTCTTTTCCTAAAAGCTTATTTTATATATTCACAAGAAAAATATAATAAAAATAATAATAATAATAATAATAATAATAATAAATATATCAAATCTCTCTACAGAGAAATAATAACAAGATTTTTATATTACAACTTAAAAACAAACGAACAATATATATATATATATATATATACACGCACACACATTTTTTTTCTCTCTTTTTTATTTTTCTCCTTCAAATAAGTCATATATAATTATCAACCTTATTCGTGATATCTCTAGTGTTAACGTAATGTATAAATAAATTACTATTACGTAACAAATATCTCGATTCCAAAGTAAGAGAAAATATACAAATAATCTGATTGTCTCTATACACATATACATATATAAATATTTATGTTAAGCATACGTGTATCACGTGCCGATTGATTTTCATATCAAAACGACAACTTATATATGTATATACATACGTATTTAATTACATATAAAAAATAGAAGAAAGAAAAAAACATATATATATATATATATATATATATATATATATCTAAAATCAATCCACGATATATATATATATATATATATATATATATATATATATATATATGTAAAGAAAGTATACTTTCTTTAGGTAGATTTGCCGCACATCTCATAGCCCGCCCTTCCATTGTCCTTTATTATTTACAATTTCTTTTGTGACCTACAAATCGAGTCGTTAAGATTTGGATGAAAAATGGACAGTATGAAATATAACATAGAAGAGAAAAGCAACACGAGAACTAGAAGAAGATTCATAATATAAAAGAAATAAAATTTAACAATGTGAATAATAAACGTTAATTGTCGTTTCTTTGTTCACAGAGAAACATATTTTCGTTAATCACCTCCCATAATCAATAAAAGATATTATATATATATATATATATATATATATATATATATATATCGTGGATTGATTTTAGAGATAAAAATTTCGAAACCATCCTTGCACGTTGATGAGACTACCTTATATGAAAAAATCATTCAAAATCAAATCTCCATTGGCTTATTGTCTCTCCCTCCTTATTTCTTCTTTTAAACATTTCACATTTCTTCAGTTGCTCTCATTTAAGCTTTTCATTTATCACTGGAGTCGTAAAACTTACGCGTCACCCGTTATCTTCACCGACGCTTATTATGCGGCTTATCGTCTCTCTTTCTCTCTCTCTTACTCTCTCTCTCTCTCTCTCTCTTTCTCATCGTTTCTCGACGAGGGAAAAGCTATAAATTTAATAGTCTCTGGTGTCGAGGGGTGGGGCTGAGGATAGGGTTGGCGTTGGGCTTGGGGTGGAGGTGAGGGTGGGGGTGGTAGAAGAAGAAGAAGAAGAAGAAGAAGAAGAAGAGAAAGGCAGAACTCCTTTGCCCGTATATGAAAACCGAAATCGATCCTCGAGAGAGATTCGACTCGGCGTTTCTAGCTCTCTCCAACCGATTTTTTTTTTTTTTTTTTTTTTTTTTTTTTATGCATTCTTTCTCTCTCTCTCTCTCTCTCTCTTTCTCTCTCTTTCCTCTATCTATCTATCTATCTTTCGCTCTCTCTTTCTTTCTCTATCTCCTCGAAGTCGATTCGTAGAATAATCTTATCGGGCAAGCGAGACCCATATATTTATTAACGATCGTTAAGATCGCCTCGAAGAAGAGAAAATAATGAGAGCCCGACCTCTATACCGGGTGGCATAAATTTTCATGGAATATGCGCGAGTTTATTATATGGTGAAAATAGAAAAAGAGAAAGATCGTCCTTATCTATCGATGGAACCATATTTGTCAACAGATCGATAAGATTTTGTTTTCTCTCTCTCTCTCTCTCTCTCTCTCTTATTTCTGTGTTTTTCTTTTCTTTCTTTCTTTCTTTCTTTCTTTTTTCTTTTTTTCTCCGTTTCGTTTTGAACAACAACAGGATTTCAAACGGATGATTAGAAGTCATTCCGATATCTTTCCGTCGAGTTTTTTCATTTACGATTTTTTATTTTGTTTATTTTATATATATATATATGTATGTATATATATGTATATATTTTTTTTATTTTTTATACATATTTTTCTCTCAATTTTTATTTGCGTACTTAATCACAACATAACAACATCTATCGCCGTTGATTATGAAAGTATGGTAGTTTAGATAAAAAAAAAAAAAAAAAAAAAAAAAAAAGTTAAGAAAGGCGAGAATTAAAAAAAAAATTAAGAAAAAAAAAACAATCGTAGTTATCAAAAACGAACGATAAAAAATATATATATATATATATATATAAATACACATATATACGTATTATTTCGTTGATTTGATATCAACTTTTTTACATTTTGTAGAATTATAAACCCGTTTAAATCTTAATATCGTCATTAAAATTTTAGAATGTAGTTTTTAGAGGTATGCCGATAATTTCGTTTATGCTCGGTATTTCCTTTCACCCTTTTCACCGCACTTTACCTCATCTCACCTCACCTCACCTCACCTCACCTCACCTCACTCCACCTCACCTCACTTCACCTCACTGTTCGCGTCCACGTCCTGTCCTGTAAGTTATTGAAAATCAACGGACGGTGAAGGTCCTGGCCGAAGATATTACAGGAATTCGCCGAGCGGAATACGAGTTTGCTCGATAAATGATTCACGAGACAGGACTCTCTTTGATACTCGATTTAACCGTACTCTCTCTTTCTCTCTCTCTCTTTCTCTCTCTCTCTCTCTCTCTCTCTCTCTCTCTCTCTCTCATTTTTTTCCTTTCGTTAGAACGGATGAAAAGGAACAACGAGAAGGAAAATAAAAAGGAAAGAAAAAAATGGGGGTGGGATAGGGATGGAGAGGGGAAGGGAGGGAAGAGGAAGGATGAACGAGGCCAGGACGATGCCGGATAAAGGCATTATTGTCGATTGTTCTTTCATTTTATGTACAGTAGAATCCATGATCTTCTCTCTCTCTCTCTCTCTCTCTCTCTCTCTCTCTCTCTCTTTCTCTCTTTCTCTCTCTCTCTTTTTCTCTGATGCGCTTTAATGCGTACGAGTATGATCCAAGAGAGTATAAAAAGCGAACAGATTAATTAATTTCCTTATATTGATTTATCGATACAAACGCGATTAAAATTCGATTAAGTTTCATCTCGATTGAAAGATTATGAGGATTAATTTAAAATTCAATCATATGAATAAGAAAAAGAAAGAAGAAGAAGAAAATAAAATGGGTAAAGGGAAATTAAATCTTTTTTTTTTTTTTTTTTTTTTTTTTTTTTTTTTTTTTTTTTTTTTTTTTTTTTTTTTTTTTTTTTTTTTTTTTTTTTTTTTTTTTTAACAATGAACGATCAATTTTTTTATAACAGAAACAAAATTAGATACACATAAAAATACATGTAGGGAAATTAAATAGAGACAAATAAATATATAAAGTTTTGTAAACAATATCTCTTTCTCTCTCTTTTTATCTTCTGCGTCATCAATCGTATATTTAAGTGGGAAGATTCTTTTTTTTTTTTTTTTTTTTTTTTTTTTCTTTTAAGTTGGTGTAAAATATTAAATTTTGAAATTGTACACCCTGTATATTATATTGCTGAGGTGAGCCAAAGAGATCTTTCTCTTTCTCTCTCTCTCTCGTTCGACGCGGCGGATATAACGAAGGCGTCCTTCTACGAGTCACGTATTGCATGTCATAAATCGAACCTGATTGGCCAATAAAACCGAACCGATCCCTTCCGATTGGCCTGCTATTCGCCCACGTGCTCCACTAATGAACACGTGACTTTTTCTAATTACACTCCATCGCCAATCATCTGGCATAGATTTTTCTTCTTTATCGCGCTTTTTTTGCTTATCTTATTTTACCTCGTAAGAATTTTCTATTATAAAAAAATAATACACGCCTAAGTATTTATATATTATTATAATCATGCATATATATATTTCTTGAACAATTTTCAAAATATTCTGAAGACATTTCTGTTTTTACAAAAATTTCACAATTCTTTTTTTTTTTTTTTTTTTTTTAACAAAATTCGTTGTTCAAAATTTTTGGCATTTCTATTTGTTTCTTTTTTTTTTCTTCTTTTCATTTGAATATTTTTGAATATTTGATTATTACAATTTCGAATATTTTATTATTTTTACTTTGCTTATAATACTGTATTCTTTTCATATTATGTCATTTATCATTTTTGATCATGTTCGTAAGAGACAGAAAAAAGAAGAAAAAAAAGAATACAGGAATAAAATAATAATAATGAAGAAATTTCAATAAAGAACTGTTTGATGGTGTATCGGTTTGAATCGTGTAATAATGAGAATGCGAGAAAATAAGAACAAAAAAAACCTTATGCATATACATGTATTTGTACGTGGGGATTCGTATGCATCATGCATGCGTACGTACGTTACGTGTATGTATGTGTGCGTGTGTGT